GAGTTAAAAGACTCAGGAATAATTTGCCCTACCACATCTCAATACGCATCTCCAATATTATTAGTTAAGAAAAAAACTGGCGATTATAGGCTTTGTGTAGATTTTAGGGCATTAAATAAAAAAACCATCAAGGAACATTATCCGTTACCGAGAATCGACGATCAATTAGATAATTTATCAGGCTTTAGATATTATACAACCCTCGATCTTGCATCAGGATATTATCAGATAATGATGGCGGATACTTCGAAACATTTGACGGCGTTTGTAACGCCTGATGGTCATTTCGAGTTTAATCGAATGCCATTTGGTCTAGCAAACGCTCCGTCAAATTTTCAAAGAGCTATTAATAATATTCTGGGTAATGCGCGATTTAAGGATGCATTTGCGTACATGGATGATGTAATCATCCCATCTAGAACTGTACATGAGGGTTTTGAAAAATTGCGTAGTATATTAAATTTATTTCGCGCTTCGGGATTGACTCTAAAACTAACGAAATGTAATTTCTTTATGCAATCTATAGACTATTTGGGTTTTGAAGTGAATGAAAACGGTGTTAGGCCAGGTAGTAAAAAAATAGAGGCTGTTCAGAGTTTTCCACGACCCACGGATCAACATAAAGTTCGGCAATTTATTGGTCTCGCTAGTTTCTTTCGGCGGTTTATACGAGGGTTCTCTACTATTGCCCGACCATTAACTCAGCTTTTAAAGAAGAACTCTAATTGGTGTTGGGGTGATTCTGAAGAAAAGGCGTTTAATCACCTTAAACAAGAACTAACTAAGCGACCTATACTCGCGTTCTATAATCCAAATTATGAAACCCAAGTTCATACAGACGCATCTAAGTTAGGGATTGCTGGTATTCTAATGCAGAGACCTAATAAGGAGTTTCCATTTAGTGCTGTTGCGTATTACAGTAGACAGACTTCTCCCGAAGAAGCTCGTTTTACTTCTTATGACTTGGAGACTCTGGCTGTTGTGATGTCTCTGCAGCGCTTTAGGGTATATCTTTTAGGTCTTAAGTTCACAATTGTCACTGACTGTAATTCTGTTCGCGCTACATTTGAAAAAAGAGACATGTTACCTCGCGTAGCCAGGTGGTGGAATGCTTTACAAGAGTATGATTTTGACATCATCTACAAACCGGGTTCCAGTATGTGCCATGTGGACGCCCTCAGTCGAAATCCAGTACAGCAACCCATTTTCGAAGAAGTTCGTTTTATTGATACAAATTGGATAATTACTGCTCAACAGAATGATGATGAGTTACAAAGGATAATAAGTATACTTAATGATAAAGAAACTGAAAGTATAGTCGAAATAAAAAATAATTTTATAGTCAAACGTGGATTGCTGTATAGGAAGACAACTGAGGGTGACCGATGGGTCGTACCTAAAGGATTGCGATGGCACATACTAAGGGCCAATCATGATTCCTTAGGCCATTTTGGTTTTGAAAAAACTTTAAGTAAAATAAAAGAGCAATATTGGTTCGCTAAAATGAGACGTTTTATCAAAAAATATGTAGATTCTTGTTTAGAATGTGCTCATACCAAAACCCCAGCTGGAAAAAAGTCCGGAGAGTTACATCCCATTCCAAAAGTTGATCGTCCGTTTCATACACTACATATTGATCACCTTGGTCCGTTTGTTCGCAGCAGGAATCGAAATTCTTATTTGTTATTAATAATTGATGCGTTCACCAAATACATCATAATGGTACCTGTTAAAAGCACTAAAAGTGTCCATTCAATTAAGGTGATGAAAAGTTATTTCCACACCTTTAGTGTACCACAGAGAGTAATATCTGATAGAGGAACTTCTTTCACTTCGAAAAGTTTCCGAGAATATCTGAATACTCTTGGAGTTAAACATGTTTTAAACGCAGTAGCTACACCAAGGGCAAATGGGCAGATAGAGCGGTACAACCGTACTGTCCTTGCTGCTCTCAGTGCGAAAAACTTTAATAAGCCAGAAAACACATGGGATGAGTCTATATCCGAGATCCAATGGGGTTTGAATAACACCATTAATAAAGGGACAGGAAATACACCTGCTCAGGCCCTCTTTGGTATAACTCTTGTTGGAACTAATGACTCTTCCTTATGTCTCAATACCAATGATTTCGAAACACAAAATGAAAACATAACGGAAACTATTCGAAGTGAAATTAATAAACATGTAACTATAAACCAGGCCAAACAAAAAAAGAGGTTTGATCAACATCGCAAGAAGGTACACTTTTCAGTCGGTGATTTGGTAAGGGTTGAAAGGGAAATACCTTCTTGCGGCCAAAGTAGAAAATTATTACCCAAGCTTCGGGGCCCATATCGTGTTATAGAAAAATTAGGTAATGACAGGTATCTAGTGGAAGACACTCCTTTATCGCGAAAAGGTAATCGTTCTTTTAAAGGAGTCTTTTCTGTAGACAAAATGCATCATTGGCTAGTATTTAACAGAACTGCCGACGAGTCAGAGTGTGAGTCCAATAACGAAGTTAGTGACAACAATAATGAACTAGATGAAAATAGTGTCGACAATAATGAGTAATACACTGCAAGGAAAATCTAAAGATAAATAAAAAAAAAATGGCATTTTAATAATTAAGTTATACTTTAATATTACTAATATATTTACATCCACAGAGCAAATTAATTACTTAATATTGAAGACATGAAGGGGCTTCAATATAAGAGTTATGTTGTAAATAAAGAGACAAAGACATGCAGGGGCTTTGGTCTTAAAATTGACAGTTTGTTGTAGATATGCAGAGGCTACAACATTTTATTGATTTGAAACTTAAGAATTCAATTTTTTTAGAAGAAATATTTTTTTTTTATTTTTTTTTTCGTTCTTCACAGTTTTTTTTTCATTTTATTGTTTATTTTTTTATTTTACAGCATATTTTGTATGTAACTTAGTAAGAAATGGTTTTTTTTCTTCCATTTTAAATTAGAAAAAAAAATTAGTTAAATCGATATTTGGTTAAAATAGATTTGATATAATGAATTAATCTGTCATTATCTTATAGTAAATAAAGATTTAATTTGTTGTGGCTTGTGAGGCAAAGACATGCAGGGGCTTTGACCTTACAATATTAGTCAGTTTGTTGTAGATATGCAGAGGCTACAACATACTGATTAATACTTTAAGAAATACAGATATTAATAAATAAATAATAAGATGTTAATGCAACAATTGCAAAGTTGTTCTATAATTCTCATATGTACTATCTTTCACGAGTCGTGAAAATTATCAGGAAAGGCCGACTTATTATATTTCTCAAATTTGATTGATTAGTGTTTTCCTTATTTTTTAATGTATTTATTCAAGTAAAACCAACGCTGTCGTTAATAGTTGTATCTATGACATGGGATAAGGACTTATGATTCCGATTCCCATGCCATAGATACGGATATTCATTTTTTTTAAAAAGGTGAAGGATGATTACTGGGAACGCGGGTATTTTTGCTTACAAGAATTATATAAAAACTTGTGTTATGACGTGTTTAATGAGTATTGTTAAAGTAAAGACGATAGTTTAAATGTGATTATAATTTGTAATAAACTTATTAAAAGAATTTCAGTGTTTTAAATCAAGACTCTCCTGGACGATTATAGTAGTGAAAAGCCCCTGGTCTCGGTTGAACGTCGTCGTTAAGGCATCGGATGCATTCTGATCAAATTTTTATAAACTTCTTTATATTTACATATCTAAAGGGAAATATGTAAATGATCATATTTTTTTTTAAATCCTCACATATGCCGCATAAAATCTATATTTAGTGAGTGAAATATTGCCTACGGTATAGTCCCGGCCTTAGAGTAGGTCTCGGCACGATATGATGGCCGTTTTGACAGATTGTAATAGTGTCGTAAATAGTCAATTTATTATCTAAAAAAAATCTAATATCAATCAAATGCCAGTATTAAAAAATATAAAATTTAATCAATATTGCAAGAAATTGCTGATTGTAAAGATTGAAAATCCAAAAATACAAAACGCCATGTTATGTGGTGAATAAGTATACTATTATTTGAACGATATAATAGTTCTTAATGATAATAGCAATAAAATAAATAATTAATAAAACAAAATAAATTAAAAAATTGAATTTAAATGTGATATTTCGCATTGTTCGATGAGATATTAGCTTTGTTTAGTTTAATCACGTATTATGATAAAATAGTTGATAGTTTTGATTTAATATAGATTTTAATAGAGTATATAATATAACTTCGAGTACGAAAAATCAATTTAAAATTTAATGGATTATAAAATATCACAGATTAAAAAAATATATTATTCTACCTTAAATAATCGAATCGATAATTTTTAGTAAAAAAAAACAATTTTTAATGAAAACATGACAGAGTTACTTTTTCGCATTTATCTACATTATTTCCTAGATAAGCCTATTATATAAAGAAAAAATATTTTAGTATGGATTCAGAAATCAAACAAAATCCTATTATGTGCGTAGGCTTATATAAAGTATACCTATTTACTACTTCTATCAGTACAATACAAAATAAAAAATGGTGTTAAAATTATTATAATATGAAACTTACGTAACACTAGATGGGCTTAAATCAGTAGGCAATTAATTAAGAAATAAATCTTGGGCCATCTTTTGCTCGAAATAGGGTTTCTCATCTAGCGGGCAATATTTCCGGGTTTTGAAAAAAGGCACTCTTACTGTACACTTCTCCTCTCAAGAGAAAGTGTGAGTGAACCTCGTAACCTTGATAGATAACCCTGATAAAAAAATAAAATAAACATCGAAAAAAAAAAAATTTAAAAAACGATTAAACCTAATGCGTAAGCATCCAATAGTCTGTGATCTAAACACAGTTAAATGTAAGTTCCTTGGTTTTTTCATGAAAAATAATTGTTTTTTTTACATCCCTACTATTATTTTGACATTGACAGGTGGCCGAAAAGGAGAAATTCACGGCCGTAAAACTTAAAAAAAAAAATTACATTGACAGCTATTATCCAACAAGACAAAAACAAATGTGTGAAATTCTTGGTTTTCGATAATCTAAATTTAATTAAAGAAATATACTTACAGTATTAAAATTTTAACACATGGAAGGAATTTTGTGGAAATGGACAAACTATTGGAATGGTTTGTACCAAATTGATGCAATATCTGTATTTATTCTACTTTTTCTTTTAAAATACTTTTTCTTTGAATTCAGGTTGGCAAACAAGGTGGTTTATTTTAGAAAATGGTATTTTGTCATACTACAAGTCACAAGATGAAGTAAATCAAGGATGCAAAGGATCAGTGAAAGTATCAGTTTGTCAAATTAATGGTAAGTGTCAGACTGATATTTGTTGTTTGGTACATACTGGTATTGATTCTGGCATGATTCTCTAAACTTTAAATTAAATTTAACATCAGTCTCCTCTTTTCATTCTGTCTAGAAAATTACAAGGATACACGGTTGTTGATTTTAGTTTGAGAGAATTATGCCAAGATCGACACCATTGTATGTTTGTTTTACAAAGTAATTTTTATAATTTCTAGTTAATCACATCGATAACACACGCTTGGATCTCGTAATACCAGGACAACAGCACATGTACTTGAGAGCGCCATCACCTCAAGACAGGCAAAAGTGGCTTGTAGCTCTTGGCAGTGCTAAAGCATGTGTTGATTCCAAAGGGGAATCTACAGGTAAATATACTACCTATTAGAAATGTATTATTTATATTGGTTTTTTTATGTTATTTTTGTATGGAGACAGAGTTATTGCAGTGAAAAGAAAGGAAAAATATATTACTTTATTTATATAATTTTCTTTAGAGGATAAAATATTTTTTTATAAGTATGGAAACAATAGGGGAAAAATTGGTGATTTTAAAATATTTCTTTTAATGAAATGGTTATTTTAATATGGTTTCTTGTTTTTGTAGGACTGTCCTAGACAATCTTCTGCTCTTCTTCTCATCTCATCTTCTCCTCATGAAAAACACTTGAGGTTCAAAAACAAATTTTAGTTTTAGCCCAAATTATAACATGTTGTTTTAGTAAATATGTTAAGAAAAATAAAGTTAAAACTAAAAATATGTTAAAGCATGGGGATTTAACCAAAGTCTTTATTTGCTGCAGTCTCTGTTACTGACCATTAGAGTAACATAGTTCTTATTATAAGTTATCTACTCAAACTTGTTATTTCTCATTATGAGCATCTACAGCCAACACCCCTTTATACCTGCTGTAATGGATGTCTCACAGTAAGGGTTACCATTTAGGAATTTCAAAAGTTGTGACAAAAATCCTGACATTTCGATATTTTTAGTCATAGAATAGTACCATTCCTCACTTTGTTACAATGGTATGGTATTTAAAACAATAACAAACAAACAAAACTTTTATTATTAATATTCTATGAAATTAAAAAAATCCGGACAATTTAAAGATCCGGATAAAGTATTGATGGATGGTAGCTCTACTCACAGTACATGTTAACAATATGTTGTTTTTTAGTATAATTTATTACCTGTCACTTTTATTATAATGATTTTTGTAATGTTTTAGTTACAGTATTTGATGATACAAATTCATTGAGTCATAAGAAGTCAGAGTTGAGACTATACTGTGACCTCATGATGCAACAAGTACATGCAGTGAAGAGTGCAGTCACTACTGAAAATGGTCCTGATTTGCAGGTAAAAATAATGTTCCATATAATTAAATCAGTAGGTACCAAATTGTCTGTTGAACCTGTTTCTCAGGCTTCAAAATACACCATATTGATAAATTGTTTATGGTTAAGTTTTTATTTGTGTTGTATGCACTTTTATTTATGTTTGAGTAAGACCCCATTAATTATTGTCAACACTTGTCCTTTGTGTAAAAGTAGTCAATTTGTCACCTTGCAGGTTAGGAATTTTTATACAGCAAAAGTTTTTTTTTTTTGTATTCATTATGCTTCAATCTATTTATTATCACAGAAGTAAACTTTCGTATATAAACTTTCTATTTTTAATTTTTCAGAATATAGATGATGCCTCAAGTCTTCTCACAGCTACATGTGATACTTTCATTAGAACACTTGAAGATATAATGAGGATAACAAGTGCAAGCATAGCATATGAAATGCCAGTACCCAATATTGCATTACTGAAAAATAATAGCTCCAACAAACCACAACCAAGCAATAAAACTCCTAGGCAAAGTCTTACTAGTAGATCTTTATCACAAGAAAATAGGTGAATGTGAAATGAAGTCAATGTTCATTGTATAAAAAGTAGTTCTGGTTAAATTGGCATAAATTGTTACTTTATGTTATTAATTTGCAGGCTAACAATGTATCACTTGAAAAGCTATAGGGTACCTCTTTATCTAATACATATGTATTTGCAATTACCGCCCACACTCAGAGAAAACAATAGGTTTAGGTTAAGAGTCTCGCGGATCATCTGAACAGGCCGATACTTAACTCTATATTTATGAGAGTTCCTATGAACTCAATACACGCGATTATCTGATCAGTCCTATATAATGAATTAGAAACTATACGCGCATTAGAATTTACGCGAGATGTCGCGCGACCATCTGAACTTAGCCTTAATCACAAGTTTTGTTCTTATTAAAATTGATGCTGTTATTTTCTTTGCAATAGCAATGGTATATCAATACATACACAATACACATACAACGCGATACAACTACAACACGATACATTAAATTTAATGACGTCTCGGAGTGTGTCTCTGCTATAAGTCTATTTGTTTCACTTCTTAATTTAAATACATATGTGGAGTGTCGATTCGATCTTAAAATTGTATTACCTATTTGCAATCTCTTTATTGTAAGTATTTTATCTGTTTAGAAATATTATAAGAAAAATTATATGTACAAATAAATACGTTTACGTATTTGGCTGGGCTTAGCCTCTATTTACAAGAACACAGTCAACGGCAAAGGCGGCAGTAACATATACGTCTTATTAATTTATTTATTATTGAAACTCACTGACTAACTGTTAGCCCAAACGTCAGCAAGCTAATATACAAATTTATAATCAAGAAGCATCAATTACAATTACAAAATTTAATACTTAAATTTACATATAGGTTAAAAACGGAAAACATAATAATAATAAAATAATTTATTGCAGGTAGCTAAGAATTAAAACACTAATATTATAAAGGCGAAAGTTTGTCATTGTGTATGTTTCTTACTTATTCACGTTAAAACGGCTGGAGCGATTTATATAAAATTTGGTATGGAGTTAGCTGACACCCTGGATTAACACATAGGCTACGTTTTACTGTGGGAACATATTGCTAATAAACTTGTAAAGTAATAATGTAATACCGCGGGGCACACCCCGCCGTAAAAAAAATACGTCAATATTATTAGCATTAGGGGTACGAAATATACTTGGTTCAAACAACTATTGAAGGCTGCTGTTGCTGAGAGTTGACGTTAACGTTTGCCTCGGGTAAAAATAATATGATTTTAATAAGTTGTCTACTATTAAATAGTTTAAGTATCTGTTTATACAATTTCTTAATTTATGTATTGGCATGCTTGTTTCATCTCTAATTATTGATCAACCTGTGATATTTTCTTTATGTTGAAGCACCTTGATTGTATGTTATTTTTAGGTTTAAATTCCTCCTAAACGCATCTTAATTTTATAATTATAATTGTTAAATTTTCTGTGTTAAAGCTGTCAATATCGAATAAAAGGGATGCGTGTGCAGGCATAGGAGCATATTTTTAGGTTTAAGTTCCTCCTAAACTGTAATCACATTTAACATTGTCTTAGATTTGAAAAATAAATGACGGATAACTTACGGATACCTATTTAAGAACATCCATCGAGCAGAAAAATCGGCGTGCGCCTTTTTAATAATACTGTATCAAAGGTTATATACAGTTGGTGCATTGTGCCTCCTCTAGGTACACGTCGACAGATGCATCTGCAGATGCCATCTTCGGATGCGTCCGCCGGCGCGTGTGGACGGGGTAGTTTGCGCGTCTGTGGTAGGTATTTAACGTCCACCGATGCGTCTGCCACCAATCCGTTTGTTGTCGGTTTTTGTGGCACGCAACAACATTGAGGTATATGAATAGAGTGGGGAAGGCGGCTCTAAAATTGTCCGTCTAGTAGAAAGAGAAAGAAGATGAGAGACCCCTAGCTATCTCTCTCTCTTGTGACGCATGGCATCCAATGGCACATCGAAATACTAAGATGCTTACGGTTGCCAATGCGCATGCACGATTAGAGAGGAAAAGCTAGCGGTCTTTCATCTTCTTTCTCTTTCTATTAGAGGGACACTTCCACTTGTAGTAGTCTATATCTCCCCTACTCTATTATTATACCTCTATGCGCAACAAAGGGCTACAGCGCGGACGTCAGTACACACGTCTCACGACGCATCTGTAGTACTGGAGTTGCGAATGAGAGTGGAAGCGTGCTCGCAATTATTTTTTGATCGTTTGTTACTCTCGTTCGCCGGCATGGCTCATATTATGAACACTAACGAAACATCTAAATTCCTCGAGTTGTATTCAAGCAGATATACCTGTGAAATCCGGAAAATAGCCAGCATCCACCACCTTCTTTTCCATTTATTTTTAATAATTCTAGGTACTGCGATGCAATACAGTATAAGAACAAAGTGTGGAAGGAGGCTCCAAAAGTGTCGACGAAAATATGATTCTTCCTTCCTCTTCATACTAGACGGACACTTCCACTTGTAGTATATAGAGTACATATCACCCCTACTGTACTTATACCTCTATGGATGCACCTCAAGTAGTAGTTAAAAGTACATAATAAATAAATAGCTGCGGCAGCTATTGACGTTTGCGGACGCATCTGTCGACATTTAGATGAGGCATTAGAAGCGCGCAGAACGCATCATTTAAACAAAGATATAATTTTATTTAATGCACAGCGATTCTACGCGGTAATACAAACGATCAAAAAATTTTCATCATTTATATTTACGTACAGCAGTCAGCTTCATAAATATCGAAGTGAGACTTGATCTGAAGAAATATAAGACTGGTTGGTTGTGTACAATATTCAGATAACTTTAAATGCAAAGATATAATTGAACCTTTGCTCTTGACATGTATTTGACCACCTTGTCAACTCATATTTTTATGAAGCTGACTGTACCATTATTTTTTATAACATAGACACCATGATAGACACTATAACGAGCCGTTACCGCCAAATTATCGTAAGCGACATTTTTGTCGAAATGCGTTTTTTGTGGAAACTAATATTTTAAACCGTAACGGACCCATCTCTGTTGATATTTCCCTCCAACCTTCCTTCCGTTATATTATAACGGTGTTCTTTTGGAGGGAAATATCAACAGAGATGGGTCCGTTACGGTTTAAAATATTAGTTTCCACAAAAAACGCATTTCGACAAAAGTGTCGCTTACGATAATTTGGCGGTAACGGCTCGATAATATAATGTCGGTAGGTACTTGGGTAATTACAGATTTTTCTGCTCCGTGGAGGGAGACATAGGGGACAGGGCACTGACCGAAAATGCAAAGAAAAACATGTCTAAGCATTGTTTCATTGGAATTGAGATGTTAAATTGAAACTTTAGCATGTCGCATTACATTTTTTATTGTTATTAAAAAAAATCAGACCGTGTCACAGTATAATTTTGAGCCCAAAAAACGGACACATGTTTTTTAAGTTCCCAATCGATGGAGCTAATAATTTTGAATGCAAGAGTAGAAGTCCCTAGTTTCAATTTTGGTTCTAACAGAGATTATGAATTTTTAAAGATTTTTTTATTAAAACCGAAAATTACACTTAATTCTGTAAAAGTTCAACAATAATTTTTGTTTTGTTAATGGTGTGTATTGTCACTATAAAAGGCATAAAGTGAATCAATTTATAGCATTAAACTGTGTAGAACAAGAGAAAAATCATAAATTTTCTTGTTTTTATTTTTTTTTGTCTACATTAACAAGTAATAGGATTTAGTTTCTACATTAAACAATTCTCGTAATTGATATGAACACCGACTAAAAAAATCAAATCCAAATCTCGTAGGATCTAGAAGATATTAGCTTCTAAAGTTTTCTATGATAATTATGGTTTTAGGGCTGTCACATGTAATATCCATAATTATTCTGCATTATATATTTTTTTTAATATTTTACGTGCTATGTGTTGTAATAGGTATAAATACAAGGTGTTACATAACCCGTAAAAATGTATGGAAAGACTGACAAAAATGTATGGGAAATATTTTTTTTTTTGCGAATTCACTATAGAACAAGATGTTAAATAGATTTAAAGGTCCTCGTTGCAAAGAACTTCTGTGTTATTGTCATTATGCCCTTCAACAATTTCGTCACTTCCACATGTCATAGAATTTTCTTCAATAGGGATGTCATAAGGTTTTAATAAATTTATAACTGCAGCTGATAATGGCAATGATTTCAACTTTTTTTGCCTATTTTGTAGCCTTATGTAAGAAATGGCTGGATCTGATGATTCCAGTGCTCTGTGGAACAAGTCCAGCATCGTTTTTTCTCGGTCACTTTTGCGGCTGTGGTGTTCACGATCGTAGCGCCAAAATTTATTCCGTGCTTCTCCCGCTTGCTCCGATAGTAAACCTACAGGAAGGGTAGAGTTACTAATTATGTCTTTTCCGTGGATAAGGATTTTGTGGACGGTCACTGTCATTGGATGCCATTCATACTCCTTAACATATTTAGTTGCTACTGTTTTACAGAACTCTCCGAACTTGTCAGCATCTACGGGTAATCCACAGGACAATGTAACTAAAATTGTATGAAGGTCATCAAACAACCACTGCCCAAGGCCCCTAATATTTGTGCAAAAACTTTTTTTTTTTTTTTATAGTTAGGTCCGACAAATGACTCCACCCCACCTGATGTTAAGTGAAGGTGAAGTCCAGACGCGAAGATAGCTGATACAGCAGTTCTACCTGCCACACCAGCCATCCTCACCCTGCCGGCCTGCATGTTGCTTCTTCACGCCTCTTTTAAAGGATCCCAGGTTGTAAGAGGGAGGGAACACGTGAGCGGGCAGAGCATTCCATTTACGGATGGTGCGACAAAGAAATGAGTCACCAAATTTCTTTGTACGCGTTGGAATTGTGGCCACAGTAAAACGGTGACAACGTAGGCCAGCGCGCGTGGTCCTCTGAAGGAAAGGGGAAGGTGGGATAAGAGAGAATAACTCCTCAGAACACTCGCCGTGGTACAAACGATAGAACGCGCTTAGTGACGCCACGTCACGGCGTAATTGAAGAGGCTCAAGGTGTTTAGTCACCTCCTCATCGCTTATGATGCGGATCGCGCGCCGCTGTAACCTATCCAAAGCATCGAGCAAGTACTTGGCGGAGCCATCCCAGAGGTGCGAGCAATATTCCACGCAGGACCGCACTTGCGTTTTGTACAACAAGCACAGTTGATCGGGCGTGAAAAAACGCCGCACCTTGTTCAGGACTCCGAGTTTGCGTGAAGCTGTTTTGATCACGGTTTCGATGTAGTCCTTTGGATTCAGGTCTGAGCGAACTTCCATACCGAGCATGGAAATGTTGCTCTGCAGCGGTAGTGTTGTGCCCTGAAGAGATGGAAGGGGAAGGAATGGCGATGTTTTTGCCGTGAAAGCGCAAGCCTGAGTTTTCTTGGCATTGAACCCAACCAAGTTCCTGGTACCCCATTCGGAAATGTGGTCCAAAGCCTGATTGAGTTCAATGACAAGATTTTCCCGTTTCTCCCTGGTTACTGCATGCCCAGCCGCTGCTTGTCCGAGATACCCCGCATGCACTGTACTATCGTCTGCATAGCAATGAATATTCCCAAGAGGAATCAGGTCATTGATATGCAGCAGAAAGAGAGTGGGGGATAGGACGGAGCCCTGGGGAACACCGGCATTCACTGACATGAACCGCGAACTGCTACCATCCGTAAGGACACGAATTCTACGCTCATGCAGGAAGTCAGCTACCCAAGAACAGAACTGGGCTGGCAGACCGTATGCCGGAAGCTTGGAGAGAAGGCTTTTGTGCCAGACCCTGTCGAACGCCTTGGCAATGTCAAGGCTGATAGCCAACGACTCGCCACGCTTGTCGATAGCCTCACCCCAGATATGAGTTAAGTACGCTTGAAGATCACCCGTCGACCGTTTCGGTTTAAATCTATATTGATGATCATTAATCAGGGAGTGATCCTCTAGGTAGCGGGTCAGATGGTTATTAAGGACCCTTTCTAGAACTTTACATAAAACTGAGGTGACTGCTATTGGCCAGTAGTTTGCCGGGTCTGAGCGATCCCCTTTTTTGGGCACCGGTTGCACGTTAGCATCTCTCCAAGTCTCCGGCACACGCCCCAAAGAATACGAGCATTGGTACAAGCGCGTGAGCACGGGAGACAACTGCACGATTTTGATCAGATAGAACAGTTCGAGCCGTGTTTCCATCATTAGTTGTTCCAGCATTTGGTCGGACAACATCTACCAGCAGTTTTAGGTCTTCTCGCACTTTTTCTTGTATACGTTTTTTTGTTTCTTCAACAATGGCCGATTCAGATGAATTTTTGCTAATCTTCCATTTTTTTAAGGGAAGTTTGTACCCTAAATGTAGTAATTTTAAGGGAAGTTTGTACCCTAAATGTAAAAACGGATCCAAGCATGTAAAGGTCTTATGCCATGCTTTAAGAGCGAATGATCTGTTGGCAGGGAGTAAATAACTTCCAGTTTATTGAACTGTGTCGAAGTAGCCTTGCAAAATGGGCACCTTTGTTGAGACGGAGTATTCATGATTATATTCAATTCTTTCCCATCTATGCAAGTTAAATAAAGTTTGGGTTTTGCTCGGATATTTTTATTGGTAGATGTTGTAGCTATTCATGTATTTAGTTCATAGATTTGGTCTTCTACCCACTTTTGCTCAGCAAGAATCAATTCCTTTGTCTCTTTCCGATACTGAATGTGAACTGGACGGCAAAATCTGTACGAATGAGGAGTCGGATTCAACCAAAGTACGAAGCCACTTTCTGTTTTTATACATAAAGGTATAAAAGTTGTTGCAAACAGACTATGTTCATCTTCTTGACCATCACTAAAATTTTGTTTGTAAAGGGACTGGCCTGTGCTACCATCAAAGCCCCAGCTTCCCTTAAAAATACAATCTACAATGTCAACATTTTTTTATGCACAGTATATTGAAAACATACTGTCACATGAATTTATTATCCTTTGAAATGTATGCGACAGAAGACTAGTTAGTGTAACTGATGCTTCTCTTTCAGTCACATGAATTTCAGGAACTGGGTAGCCCGGGTAACATTTTTGTTTTGCCTCAAATACTTGAGGATAAGGCGGGAATGCTGGAAAGCCCCTTGCCTTCAAGTCTTGTTGTAGAAAATTATACGTATCTACTGTGAATTTTCTGTCAATACATACCGCTAAAGCTTCTTCTAGGGTATAAGGTAGTGACTCTTCTCTGAGTTTGGTAGCAATTTTTTTCATATAAAGATGACTATTATGATATTATTTTTACGTCCCTTAGTGATTTACCAGTCATATAATTTATATGAACTTGGAAGAATATATAATTTTTATTTTGTTGCAAAGAAAAGAATGTTTAGAAAAATGTTACTCTGAAAGGTGGCAACCCTAGGACAAAAAATTTGATTCTCAATATCTCTGAGATCCTGCTAAGTATCGATGCCTGGTTTTGTGAAATCATGGAAGGGAATTGTAAAGAATGATTTACAATTAGAAACGAATCCTAATACGTAATAATGTGATCGTGAGAAATAAAAAATGAAAATAGGTAAAATTAGCCATAACATCGTAATGCGTTACAAAATCATACCTGCTGTTTTTAGTAATTTACAATATTTTATTACTTTATTTTATGCGACTTATAATTTTTTGTAATACTATCTAATTATTGAGATATAGCCATTTCTATGTTTTTTTTGAAAACCATAGAAATTTTATAAAAAAATAAATAACTCATTTTCTATTGAAAATTGCCACTTGGGAGTTTTACTCTCGCGATTAAAGTTGTGAATACCATCGATTAAGGACATAAAAAATACGTGACCGTTTTTTGGGCTCAAAATTATACTGTGCGTGTCAACAATCATCGGCAGTTTAATGGTGGAACGCTTTCCACCCTCCGCGAACCCCCTTTTTTAAATGATTCTGAAAGTTTCACTTGCATCGTGGTTCCATAAAACCTCACCATTTTCACCATAGAATACTTTCAATGGGCTCACTAGATTTTTACCAGAATTCTGATGTTTCATATAATTTACAGGTTCCATTTTTACAAGACTTGTGATTGAAATATGTAATTGGTTTGTGCAAAATAGTTTAATATGGCTCCAAAAATTAAAAAATGTTTATTCAATTTAAAAGATATTTCTTCATTATTTTTTATATCATTCCACTTTTCTTATTCTGGACAAGTTATGTTACTAAACAAGAAGATTGAATAAAATATATTTAAAAAAAATATGTATTTAATTTCTTATAAATACCAAAAAGAACAATGAATCTTTAGAACAGTGGTTCTGAACCGGTGGTTTGCAGACCACTGAAAAACCCAAAGTGGTCTGAAAAATTATAGCGAAGCCATCAGGAAAATTATAAGGTACAGAAAAGGAAATGCTAATTGATTTACAATTCTAGGGGGGTTGCAAATCGTAAGAGGTCCCTCATCACAAAAAGGTTAAGGACCACTGTGTTAGAATATAGTTTCTCCAAATCTTAATACATTTTTGTTTTGGCTGTCCAACTCCATACCCATTTTAGTTCTCATATAGAAAATAGCACAATCTCTGTTAGTACAAAGAACTTCCTCATGTAGACTTCCTTGACATCTTTGACATTCAGTCCATAGCTTAGAAAATTTTTCTTCAAGTTGCCTTAATTTGAATATTTCTGTTATGTATAATTTTCCCTCTTTCTCTAAACAATGGTTACATAAAGCTCCCTTTGTATCATTGGGCATAACAGTTTTGCATCCTAAACACTTTTCTTTCTTTTTTGTAAATGCAGCTAAAGCCCCAACTTTAGAAGTGACCATGGCCTGTGTTCGAGTATGTTCACCTTTGAGTAGAAGTGACTCTGCTTTCTCTCCAAGGATGGGTTCGAAAATTCGTAGCAGTGGTTTAGATAGTTGGTTTTCCAAATAGTACTGAAAATCAATTGGTATACTGTTTTGTAAAACGTAAATTGGGTCCTCTGCTTTCATATAAGCTGGTGTATTTTTGGCTGCACAACATAGTATATAAGGAACTCTGTCACCAAGTTTTGGAGCAGTACCAGCATCACGTTTTTTCATTTTACTGGCTAATTCTACATGAGCTTGCTTAGCAGCATAATCATGTTTGGTTAGCTCTTTAGATATGACTAGTTGGGATATATCAATCCTGTTGCATAATAAATCCGATATGATTTGTTTAGCAAAACACACTGCTCCATCTGGATCTCTATCAATTAACAATTTTTGAAGACAAGTACTCATCATGTTGGAGACAAGGGGGCAGGTATCTCTTCTTACAGTCTCTATACCCTTACAGTCCATTTTGTCATATTTATCAGGTGTAGTAAAATACAAACCAGCATATCTTTTTTTGTTAATAAGCAAATATGGATAATAAACCTTTTCAAATTCTAATTTGATAGGTTTCACAAATTTCGCTGACACAAACTCTGCAGCTTCTCTTCCTAATTCCATACTTTCTTCTAATGTCTTAACTCCAAATTTAATCATAACAGAATCGGTGTCTCCATAAATGACAACAGCATCTTCTTTATAACCATTTGCTTTAGTGTATTTTTTTTCAACTTCTGTTTTTGTGAATTCTATCATAGTTCGGCCATAAGCTGTAACACTTCCTGATATTTCAAGACATGGCAATTTACCTACTTGTGCTCCTGTAAAGCCATATACTGAGTTAGCACTTATTTTCAATGCAAGCTGCCTACCATCAAGTACTGATCTTTTAAAAGGGTCTTTCTCTTCCTTCAGATCAGCTTTAGCTTTTTTTCTTGCTGCAAGCAATGATTCTAAAATTTCGGGAAGCAAACCTTTCCTGACATTAGCTTTAACAAACATATTTTTAGATGGTGTGATAGTAACATCTTCTGGGTTTATATCTTTTTGTGAATTTGGTTGTAAAAGAGTAGTGTAGCACAAATTGTGAGCCATCAGAATACTTGGGTATAATGAGGCAAAATCTAAAGTTGATATTGGATCTGCATAATAACCTTTCTTAGGTTCGATAACTGTTGCACCTTCAAACTGTTCATCTGAACCTTTTCCTTGATATGCTGGCATTAAATATCCGGCATCTTTGGCTTTTCTTAACAACTGACTGAATACTTTAATCTGTTGGCCTCTTGTTAGTAAAGATGTTAAGGGGACTCCAGTAATTCTAGCCATTTCCATGTAGTTAACAATACACATCAATTTGTTCAAGAGTTTCAAAGGAAGATAAGCATCTTTTAAACAATACATAGCTAATCTTCTCCTAGTTTGTTCATTTTCATTTTGTAAATCGGAAATAATACTGTGATGAACATCTTCTTTTTGTTCTTGCAAGAAATGGTAGCTGACTGCATTAAGGGTATATGATCTGAGTTTATAATCTCTTACAAGAACTAGTAACAAATCAAAAGGAACTCTTCCTTCAAAATTAACACTTTTATTTTCTCTGCGGCCCATTTGTTTTGATTGCAAAACTGAATCTTTTATAACTGATCTAATGTTTTTTATTCTACCTAAAAAGTCAAAATTAGAAACTTTTAGGTGTTTGGCTCTATTTATAAGATATGGTATATCAAAATTATTAATATTATAACCAGTAATAATGTCTGGGTCAAGTTCACGGAAGAAATCTGACCATTTACTTAACATTTCAGATTCTGATTGAAAACTAATAACCTGTGAGCCAACAATAGGAGCACAAGTATTTAATGTAAAAACATTTCTTAAATATGGTTCCTTTTCTCCCTGTCTCATAACCATTGATGCAATTTGAATGACAGGATCATGATTAGGTTCAGGGAATACACCTTTTCTGCCTGCACATTCAATATCAAAGCTCAATATTCGGAAAGGAGCAACTTTTGACCATTCCCCTTCAGGTTGATGAGCAATAAAAGCATTCCAAGCAACATCTATTTCAATCTGACATCTTGATTCTGATTTTAATATAGAATGTGAATTTCGCAATGACCATTTCCCAACTGGTAATTCTATCCAACAGCAACCAACAACTGAAGTATCAACCATGAATCGTATATCAAAATCTACGTTGGTTTCATAGAAGTATGGGTCCATCAATCCAAAGGATGGTGGGCTTTTTTCAATTAACCTCTTTGAGGCAGCTATTAACTTTGGTATAGCAACAGACACTCTTGCAAATACAATTTCACCGTCACCTTTATAATACATGATTGAACGAGCTTGTACAAGTCTTACTTCTAAAACACATTCTTTTATTTCTTCTTTATTAGAGCGCAAATCTTCCAAAATAGCCTTATTTAAATTGCTTTTTAACTCACTACAAGAACTTTCTTTAAAATTAATAGGCACAGTGACATAAAAGTAAGGTGAAAACCCGTGTACATGACAACAAACTGAATGCCCATCCATTGTTATTCCATACATTCTCATGATAGGCACAGGCTTTAGTTGAGATCCAGGCATACCTGGTATTGGTTGCCCATTGTAGTGATCAATTTCTATTTGTTGAAACACCAACCTGTCTTGTTTTGGGTCTATGTTTGGTGGTTCGGGCCTACTCCACTTCATATTTGTAGTTATATTTTCAGGGCCTTCTCCAATTATGACTTGTGACTCATAATCACATTCCATTACAGCTAGCTGCTCTTCAAAAGTACATGGCATTTCATTTTCTTCGTCATTCTGCGATTTAAACCTTTTCGGTGGAGGCCCTTGGAATTGTTTTCTTTTGTCCATTTTTAAATTAAAAAGTATTCCTTATCTTTTTGATTGACGTAGTTTTTGATAAAACTATGTGTTACAGTTTCCCGCCAAAACTGCACTGTAAATAGAATAGAAATTATCAAAGATTGAAACTCTGGGTAAAATTTCTTTAATGTGATTATTGTAATTTGAAATACTAAAACACATAAAATTTTATCAATTTCACATTCACACATAAAATAAAGTGCTTACCATCAGAGATTGTTGTTTAAATTTCTAAATTGCAGAGAATCGTGCGCGGTTATTTTGACAAATTTGCTGGATTTTTGACAATGACAATTCTAAACAATTAACTTTTTTTACGTTCTTTCTTTTCAAGTAAGGCAAAAGGACAAATGCCCATACAGCCTAGTCTTCAGTTTTATTAATGTTTTTTCACATTAGAATGTGGGTGCGACACATTCTAATGTTTCTTAGAGTGTTTGGTACGAAATGTATCGAGTCAGCTTTCTCGGTAAGCTTCTGTGAGTTAGTCAACACTACAATAAAGTTTTCACGTCCACTTCACCGGAATACCTTATATTTTAAAGATACCACTATTTCTTCAGTTGCGCAGACGGTTGTAACAAAATCACATAAACTTTTATTTCACAATATCCACTATGAATGAATTAAAGAAAAATTAAATAAGATGCCATCCGAACTCGATGGAATACCTCCAATTTTTTTTTTCTATTTCAGTTTACGGCACTGTGTTCTAGCCCTTTTCTGCCGGACCACCGCCATAGGTAAGGTTTTCTTTTCTTTGTTCTAATTTTTACCTATTCTTCTGCGTTGATTTATGTTTTTGTTGTTTTTTTTAATAATTCATGACCATGGATACAAGTCCTTCAGTCGTATACATAAATACAAATCCTTATCTTCATTTTTTATTTACATTAGAATGTCGGTGTGACGCATTCTAATGTTTCTTGGAGTGTTTGACACGAATTGTACCGAGTTGGTTTTTCCGATAAACTTCTGTGAGGTAGTCAACACTACAATAAAGTTCTCACGTCCACTTGACCGGAATAGCGTATATTTTAAAGATTCGACTAATTCTTCACTTGCGCAGATGGTTTTAACACAAAATCACACCAATTTTATTTCACAATATCCACTATGAACGAATTTATGAATAAATAAAATAAGACGCCAACCGCGCTTGATGAAATCCCGCCAAAAACTCCTGTGTTGATTTATTCACAACAGAGTTGCCAGATGCAATTTTACGATTTCCCCCAAACTTATTTTTCTATTTCGCTCCTGCTCACGCTCACACAATGCAACCGGCAAGAAACTCAGCAAGGGTTCCGTTTTCTCCCTGTTTTATTTCGTACAGTGTCGTCAATTTGAAAATGACATCAAACTTATAAACTAGTATTGAGGTCACCTCTCATTTCATATTGTAAAATAACAATAAGTGTGACAATACAGAGATAGTCATAGGTGTCGATTCTAGCATGATTCTCTAAAGCTAAACTTAAATTTGACAGCAGTGTATCCTTGTCGTTCTCTATACAGAATGAAAAGGAGAGACTGATGTTAAATTTAGTTTTAAGTTTAGAGAATCACGCCAGAATTGGCACCATAGACTAACTAGCTTCTCTATTTTGAAATGGCTCTGGAATCTAGATTCTTGCATATAGCTAGGATGTTAGTCGAATGTAAAGGATGTTTATTTTATTGCCATACTCGTAATATATTTATTTTTTCCTAACAGTTTCCCCAAATTCTCCACAAGAGTCAATTTCCCCCCCAGAATTGCGAAAAAACCCCGATCTGGTAACGCTGATTGAAATTGACATAATCATTGATAGGTTACCTTCCGTACCTATGCGTTGGGTGCAACTTTTTACAGTATTAAAACATATTTGTTTCTTAGGTTTTCACGCACATCACTCATTAAATAAAACTAGTTTTTTACGGGTTAATGCACGAAATTTTATTTATTTATTGACGTTTCGTAGCCTCTACAGGCTACGTCGTCGGAATCAAATTTTTATTTAGTTTTGTCGAGCTACCTTCGAAAGACTTTTATTGAGCGTTCGGTTATTTCATTGTTCGATTTTTAAATTTTATTGTCTATGTATGAATTTATTACTTAATAAAGTATTTTATTTAAAATGCTTTCTTGTAATTTTGAGTTTATTTATTTGACCCTAACTACCGTAAACTACCACCGGTTCCAAAATTGGGAGACCTTTCTGAGAAGAACCGGCGAAACAAACGATCAAGAGAGGCTTTCTATCTCTTTCTTATGTTAAATTATGCAAACAAAAACAGCTAATAGTATCTGTTGGTTTTGCTGTGGTATATACCAACCATCTTCCCTATTGAAATTTGGATATTTTTTAATCTCAATAGCCTCGCGTATCATTCAAGGAAAGAATTGCTCAGTTGCAAGGATCTGTGGTTTATCAAATCTAATGTAATGGTTTGGTCCCCCTAATGCATGTTCACACACTGCAGACGGCGACGTGGTACATTCAGGTTATTATCCTTCAGTACTCGCTCGACATGCTGAAGTTCAGCTGCCAGGTGTTGTTTGTCACAGACACCCCGTGCTCTCTGAAACAAAGAGTTTGAGAAACTCTTTGTTTCAGAGAGCACGGGGTGTCTGAAGCGAGTACTGAAGGATAATAACCTGAATGTACCACGTCGCCGTCACAGTCGCGCCAAACCTAGCACAGTCGACCGACAACCTGCTATACTACCTTACATGAAAGGAGTCACTGACAAGATTGGGAGGATTCTGAAGCGTGCTTCAATCAATACTTACTTCAAGCCGCCAAAGAAGATCAACCAGTTTCTACGACCGGTCAAGTGCAATATACCCTTTCAAGTTGCTGGTGTCTACAAACTTGAATGCGACTGTGGGCTCTTCTACATCGGGCAAACAAAGAGGAGTATAGGGACTCGGGTAAAAGAACATATCGCAGATATGAAACATAGGCGCGAAAATAAGTCTGCAGTGTGTGAACATGCATTAGGGGGCTACCATTACATTAGATTTGATAAACCACAGATCCTTGCAACTGAGCAACGATTCGTTCCTAGAATGATACGCGAGGCTATTGAGATTAAAAAATATCGAAATTTCAATAGGGAAGATAGTTGGTATATACCACCAGCTTGGGAACCCATTATACAGGAGATAAAATCCCAACCCCGAGCACACACTGCAAGACCAACAGATACTATTAGTTCTTTTTGTTTGCATAATTTAACATAAGAAGGAGATAGAAAGCCTCTCTTGAGTTTGTTTCGCCGGTTCTTCTCAGAAAAGTCTCCCAATTTTGGAACCGGTGGTAGCTTACGGTAGTTAGGGTCAAATAAATAAACTCAAAATTACAAAAAAGAATTTTAAATAATATACTTTATTAACTAACTTAAGTAATCAATTCATACATAGACAATAAAACTTTAAAAATCGAACAATGAAATAACCGAACGCACAATAAAAGTCTTTCGAAGGTAGCTCGACAAAATTAAATAAAAATTTGTTTCCGACGACGTAGCCTGTAAAGGCTACGAAACGTCAATAAATAAATAAAGTTTCGTGAATTAACCCGTAGAAAAGTAATTTTATTTAGTATTAAAATTTTTATCAAAATTAATTATATCTGGGAATCAAATTCGTGGAATTTGAAAAGAAAAACACATGACGTATTTTATGATAATCATCGAAAGGGTTAACCATAATGATTTTGTTTTCTTTTTAGAACAATTTTAATGCTCAGCTATTCTTCTGTACGCCCACTTATGCCTAGCTGTCGCGTCGCAACTTTTATTTTGCCCATTTTGAACAAAATAAAATTCAGATTAAATTTTGAATTGCCGCCAAAATAATAGAAAAAGCCAAGAAAGAAATGTTATTCTCCAATTTCAAAAAAATAATGAATATGGATGCTTTTTTCAAATGTTTCTAATTAGGCGTCCAAGCGGCCAGTAACAGAAAATGAACTACTACGTGTAAGACTCATTTTGTAATTAAAAGTAAGATATGCTTTATATTTTATGCATTTAATGTTTTTTTTATTTGAGTGTCTTAATATAGACACTCAAATAAAAAAAACATGTTGCATGTTTATTAATTATTGAATAAGTATAATTTTACTACATTTGTACGTTGAATTTATACTTTCTTTTTCCATATTTATATTTTTTAAGCATTAGACTGCAAGATGTTTAAATGTAATGAGTTTTTTTCTAGAAAAAGTTCTACGCGGACCAGGTAGCAGACGGGACTCAAAACCGCACCTTCCGCTATCCGGACAGATGTACTGACCATTATGCTACAGCGGCCCTAATAACCGTGTCGAATTCTTTCTAGTATTTCTTAGGCTGCAAGGCAGCGCCATCTTTTCGCATTTTAGGTTACCCAAAATGTATAACGAATTCCTTTACCAACAAGTATTAAACATTTGAAAGAAGAAATAGCAATTGTAATTATATTTTTATTTTTTCAAGCATTTACTTGCTAGATGTTTAAATCTAAAGATTTTTTTACTTTTATTTCCCAGTTAAATATTTCTTTTATTCTGTTTCTTGTTTTTATTCTGTTTTTAGTATTTGTTGTTATAGCAGCAACAAAAATATATATTCTGTAAAATTTTTTACAGATTTAGTTTATTTAGAATTAGCTATGGTCCACAGAACACAGAATCTTTCTCTGTTCTGTGGTAGCCCCCCTTACATTTATTTTAGTTTTTGTTGTTATAAAATTATTTATTGTTAAAGTGTATGTATAAATAAATATTCTAAAAATATTTTAAACGCCTACTTGTTGCTGTTATTAATAAAGGGCAAAAAACGGCAAAAAAATCACGTTGGTTGTATGGGAGCCCCCCTTAAATATTTATTTTATTCTGTTCATAATATACAATCAGGTGCGACAAAGATGAGAATTATTTATTTACTTAATTTAATAACATACCTAATATAGTTTATCAGAAATATCGTTTTTTTCATTTACATTCGTTTCGTACGCCGAAGAGTGGAATATCTTTTAGTTAAGAATTAATTCTATTATAATGGGTATAAGATAACTCTTTTTATGGAATTTCCATGACTTTTTCACAGACATGTGGCTTTATCTTCCCGATGACGAGTTGGATCTCGGATTTGAGCTAAAGAGCTGTTCAAGAGTCACAAACTCCAAAGGTAAAAAAACATGTTTCTTGTGAAACAAATGCACCCACAACGATTGGATTTTATTAAGATAAGTTTTTTGTCAACCACACAGTGACCGACCACTGCAAAAGCTGTTTAACTTCAACAATCGCAGCCGAATGGGCTGACCAGCTCCTCCTTCTCGCTTTGGTATTTATCTTTTTAATTATTTTTTCATTGGATTGTGAAT